CTGGATAAGGTGCTTTTGAATCTCAATGAGCTTAGATGTGTCCTGATCAGGAGATGACAAGTGTGGTATCAGCAGTTCCAGAGGACTTTTAAGGTGATTTCTGTGGGAAAATATCCTGTGGACTCATGGAGTTCATTGCATAATGGAGCTCAATGATCCATCTACCCTAACAGTGTTCTCCTCCATCTGCTCAGCTGTTGCAGTTGTGGTTGACCCTCTTTGTGTGGTTACAGTTTGAGGCCCAGATTAGACATGAATGAACAGATACTTGGCTTAGCTCAGATGTGATGTATCTTAGAATGAGTTTTCTAGTATTTTTATTTTGTTATTTCATTGTTTTGCTTCTGTTATGCAAAGCAACAGAGGTTATTATGAATAAAATGAATTATTTTAGTGAAGCAAATGAAGTTTACAACCCCAACATTGAACCAAGTTGCATTTTCCATGTTCTTAACTACCACACAACATTTTGCAAATTAAATACACATGTGGATGGATTATAAAAATGTAAAAAGCACAGTATAATCTACATATATAGTTAGGCAAGGCAGGTTTATTTATATAGCACATTTTCAAACACAGAGGTCATTCAAAGTGCTTTACCTGAAACAAGATCAAATACAAGGCAATTAAAATAACAGTGTCTCACGCCCATAGGTGTGGGACGTAGCCGCTGTGGGCGATCTCCCACGCTGACAATGCAAAGTATTGTTGCCATGTTCCGGAACATTACCAAGCATTCTTTTGTCTTTTGTCTCTCCCGTTTTCCCTGCCTGCTGCGTTCTGCCTGCCTGTCTCGCCTACCCTGCCTGCCTGCCCTCTCCCACCTGCCCTGCCTACCCAACCTGCCTGTTCTACCCCATCATCCCAGTCTGCCTCGCCTGACATCCCTACCTGACCCATCTCCATTGATCCCCCTTCCCCGTCGTCTTCTCATCCCGTGCTTACCTGAAGGACTGACTCCTCAGGCTCTCGACCGCCCGCGACCGTCCCGACCACGATTCCTGATACCTGTCTTGGCTTTGTCTGCGCCCGGCTTGTCAAGTAAACCACTGGCTTGTCAAGTAAAACACTGGTCTCCCACAACACGGGGTCTGCCTCCGAGTCGCCTTCTGTTCATTACACAGTCATTAAAATTCAAAATAAAGAACAATTAAATAAAAGTAAAAGGAAAATCATCAACGTTGATTATCAGCATAAATCAAAGGCACTGCGGAATAAAAATGTTGTCAGTATAAACTGGTAACACAAAATTTTGAATTTCTTGACCAGAAAATTATTACTTAATTTTTGCAAAGCACCTGTAGTAAGAGGCACGGGATTATCTGCAAGATACATAGTGTTTCCTTAAGCCAGAACATTCACACAGGCCACCAGCTAACAATACAACTGACAAACAAAAGTACAAATTCAGAATGTGGCTCAAACAGCCCTTACATAACTAACCATTCCACTCCAACTTCCTATAAAAGGCAGAGAAGAAGAGTCTTCTTGTTGCAAACAATTCAAATAACTAAACTAATCAAATATGAAGCAGTAAATTTAGGTGTCAGAAATGAACTAACAGTCAGTGAATGTTTCCATACTGTGACATTTTAGCTTGTAATTAAACAATCATTAAAATTAATTTCACATTATTGATTATCACTTATTTAATCAATAGTGTGTTTCTGTTTCATACAAGTTATATCATCATTTTGTTTCAGCAAAGAATAAAGATCTACTTGAAACATTGTAAAAACTATGACTATTTCTTTTTGACCAGACAGACGCCTGAATAAAGACCTCGCCTAATGCAAACTCATGCTATTATATGCAGTACAGCAGGGGAGGATGCAGCCCTAATGGCTGGGGAATTGTGGGAGGCAGATAATGGGGTCACTACAACCCAGGGACAGCTCTTTAGTACCTCTGTGGAAAATGGCAGCTACACTAACTCAAAAGCACGACAGGTTACTACTGGTGCCTGGATACCAGATTATCAGCTACAGTGGAAAAACAACTGTGAAATCTATAAAACCAAATGATGGTTTAAAAAAGCATTCTGAAGAATTGGGTGGGCGCCCCATCCTGGGTTGTTCCCTGCCTTGCATCCCTAGCTTCTGGGATAGGCTCCGGAACTCTGTGACCCTGCATAAGGCAAGCAGGTACAGAAAATGGATGGATGGATAGATGGATTTATGGATGGATGGACAGACAATGGGGAATATCAGCCTGGTTTAAGAAAATATTTAAGAACAGTATGATTCTGATGCTATAATTTCCATGTCACAGGCTAGGTAGTACACATACAGTACTGTGTTTACTTTGTTCAGTTACTCATGGATTTCTGCATACTTAATAGAAAAAAAATGAATTTGTGTTTCTATGGTCAACACCTAAATAATAAATGCTGTCTATGAAGGAACTGTATGACTTGTAGGTGCCATAGTTACTGAAATAGCATATTCTCCTTCTGCCTTCCGTACTTGTTGATACCATAGTTTGCAGTCTTTTTTTAATTCAATTTAATTTAATTTAATTGTTTTTTTACAAATTGCAATTCGGTATTCTGTTGCATACCACATAAAGTGCTTTTGCTGTTTATGGTTCTGCAATAACAAACAAGAAGTCATTTGTTGATAAGATTTTGGTATTTCTAGTTTAAAACATATTTTTTAAAATAGAACTCTCTGGACACTGAAGTTTACCAAAATTATTATAATTATTATTTTATATAGAACATTATGAGATGATAAACAGGCTCAATGAGAGTGATGCAAAGCGTTATCAACATAGAGGACAGTCTCAATGAGCAATATTCCAGGGGGAAATCTTACAGCTGCAAATCAAACAACTATGGGAGAATAATCCGTTCAAGACATCATTTGGTCAATAAAAATATTCATATTGTGAAGAATGCAAGGAAAAGGTCTGGTAGCTATATATCCTCCTTTAAAGAACCATACTGGAAGGACTGTGGATAAAGATGAATCACTTTTAAGTGAATCTACAGTCAGGACCTTTTCGATAAGTTTATCTTGGGTAACTAACCAATCATTGTGCATGGCATCTCATAGTAATAAATATTAATATGACACATACATTAGTAAATAATTTCCTGAACAATAATTAGTCCTTTTTTAATCTAACATAAGAAGGCATATGTAATGAGTTTTGACACAGACTGAATTGTGGCAAAGTGAACATATGGTGCAAGGTGAAAACACTGTCAAAAGAGAAACCGGAATAACTTTGAGGATAGGATAAGAAAGATTACATTTGAAAAAGGCAAGCTTTGGCTGACTGAGTACATCACATCCAGATGCTTGATTACAGATGAACACTGAGAGATTGGACCAATTGCCCTTGGTCACCCTTATCTCAAGATCTCCATCAAATCTTGACATTAATCAGACAAGGAGACTGTCTTTCTGCTGGTATTTGAAAAAGGCACGACCCATGGCAGGGAATGTGTGGCATGTGGAATGACGAGCATCATAAAAAATCTGACTGTATCCACTTCAGTGTTTTAACAAACAGAAACAGTATTATCTTCCGGTGGCTCACAAGGGGAAGTTACCAGCAGAAAAGAGAATGAAAAGAATAAGTAATGAATATTAGTCAGATCTATAAAAAGGATTATCATGAAGAAAGAATCTGTCATTCTTTTGAAATATTTGAAAATTTTAGTATGTCATAATTTTACACATACCATGAACCGTGAACATGGTTAACACCCCGTCATGGGTTACTCCCTGCTTTACTGTCCAAACCAAAACTATGTCTGCAGATAACTAGAAAAATTATGATAAAAAAAATATTTGTGCATAAGTGGGATGTCATTCCAACTGGGAATGTGAAACTGGAAAGGAACACATCTGTCTTGTAAAACATGATCATGATATACATGATATAAATTTTTTAACATTATCCAAGATATCAGTATGAAGCAACTACCCATATATTTACAACTGGATTTTTCAGTGTAACAAGTCAGCGTACGCACCTGTCTTAGAGGTATAACGGAGCGTCTCCTGAGATTTGAGCCAGGATCTAAGCTTCCACTCATGAAAACATCTTGCTAACTCCATGTTAACCTCACTCACCTTCCAAATGCATGGATATTTAATGCACTCACAAATTGAATTTAAATCTATGGAATGCCCAATGCAAAGAGATTGTTGACACTGTTTGTTTTGCTATATTTGCAAAAAAAGCACATGTTTCAAAACACTCATTCGTGCTATCATCCATCTTCCTGCCCCTTGTACACTACCAGACTGCAGAGAGCTTGGAGCCCAGCCTATTACAGGTAAACACTACGGATGGGATGCCAGGCAAACACACACACAATATGGGCAATTTTGAGAAGCCAGTATGCCTAACTCTATATTTTACAATATGGAAAGAAAGCTGCACCAGATGGGGAAAGCATAGGACCTCCACTCGGGCAGGATGGAACCCCCAGTCCTACAGTAGTGAAGCAGCCAGGATGCCCACTACACTCCTTCAGTATACTGCTGATGAGTATGTAGTTTGACTATACTGATTATTAGTATGTTATTTGAGTCGTCTTGCTAAAGATGGAAGAACACTACAAGTGACTCCCAGCTGAACTAATTAACAACTGAAAACCTAGATGAGCAACAAAAATCAGAGATTGAAAGCTCATCAATACATCTCTATGTGCACACTCAAATGGAGAATATTCTACAAAATAATTGTAACCCATAAAGTATTAATGGCATCTGTGGGAGACCTGCAGGAATCAAACAAGTAAAAATTTAATCAACCAGTTACTTACATCTATGGTAATGTCCTAGCTATGTTTTAAATATACTGTATGAATCAGTAAACAAATATAGTATTCAATATATTTCTCTGCGCTAGTTTAAGACACGTCGTTAGGTAGATGTATCGTTTCTTCTCTTATGTTATTTTGATTGTTTAGAATTATTAGAGCAAAACACAACATACAGTATATAAATTGTTTTATTTACGTTTGGTTTTAACCTGAATACAATTACTTAGGGCCCTTTAAAACAAAGACATTGAAACACTGAATCAAGCACTAACGCTAGACCTATACGTCCAAAGGCCTTAGAGACGCTCACATTTACGGTAAAGTATGACAACATGAGCCGTAATGTCACTAATAATATCACTAACTGTTCAGTATCGACGGTGACTAACGCTAATAGTAAATATCTGGCATTTTTCTATTCTATCCCCCAAGAGAATAAATGGTGGGTTGAAATACAAGGGAAATTATAGTGATATCTCAGTACATTTCAAAACAGAATATCTGGGTTTTATATATCGACACGCAGTTTAAAGTAAGCAGACAGTGCCTCAGTGCGTCTCAGTCGTTCTGCGCTTTTTCAGAGGAGCGCAGGGAAAAAGAGAAGAAGGAGGGGAGGGAGCGTGTGAGAGAGAGACTGGGAGACGAGGAGACTGGGAGAGGAGACTGGGAGAGCAGGCAGCGGCGGCGTGAGCAACAGAAGTACCGCGATCCCGTCCATCATCATCGCATGCAGCAGTCAGGCGTCAGGGGGTCGCCAGGAGAGCCTGCGATTGCGGGGTGTCTCCTGGTCCATAGTGAAGAAGGAATGATCTCAAGCGCCGGAATCGTGACCCTTTAAATGAGAAAAGAACTCTAAATAGCAAAGGTGGAAGAATTAAGAAGTGACTGCGTTTTTATCTATTAACTGCACATATAACCGTTTAGATAATAGGCTAATAATAACTTCATTTTTGCGACATCCCAACAGACTTGGATAACTGCGAAGAACGAAGCAACAGCTTACCCCGCCAAAGGAACACTTTGCAAAGTAAGATCATTTTCTTTGGTTATTTTATTTTAGTTTTGGGGAAATTTATAGTCAGTTAAAAAGCTGGTATCTATGTATCATATATAGACTTGCCTTATATTGCTGCTTTGACGCAGCAGTGCAATACTTAAAAAACTAGGTTTTTCCAACGCCCTACGTGTTTTTTTCCCCAGTAACCATACGTTTAATTAACGAAATTATCACTTGTTTTCGTTTGGATTTTTGACAAAATGAATACAGACAGATCCACCACAGATGTTTATTTAATACACTTTATATCGTAAAAGGCGTGCGTACAGTATGTATACATCTTTACATTCGACACGGAAAAACATTGTTTATAAATGTGTAAAGGTAAACATGCGTGTAAACGTTAAAATACACGTATTTTTGGATTTTAGACCGCACAGCAGCGTAAGAGAGCTACTGTATGACAATAAAACTGATCTTAAGACTCCCCGTATTTCAGTACTTGTATTGGCTCAACAGGTTTCAGACCTCTTGTATTGAATCTATACGTGTTTGTATTCATAAAAAAACTTAATGCTGTTTTTGAAAGCTCTAAAACATATATCGTTTTCGTTTATGATTTTTAGGTTACAGTGAGAAAGTCATTTGTAGAACAATTATTCAACGATTGTAGTATAGTATTATATACGTTTTTAAATTTGCTTATTATAGTTACTGGCAATAAATATTTAGCAATTGTATAACACACTTTACTTTTTTGTCTTTTCAAAACTCATAATAATACACATCATTACAAATTCATCTTTATAGCATAGCGATTATCAGTAAAATGTCAACGTAAATGAATCCATATAATTACAGTATCTACCATTTTTAAATTGTAAATGAGTGTTACTCATTCAGCAGATCTGTGCTTTCACAGAAAGCCGTAAAGTTGTAGAACTATAATGTGTTGTCCATAAAATAAAATGAATATTTGATCAGCTACTCAATATTATTCTGTCACAAGTTTTACACCTCTAAGATTAAACCTTTATGATTTTTGAGTCACAGCCTGTGTTTTAAACATAGTTAGATTTTTTTTTTTCAATGCTTCTTGGTACAGAACATAACCTTCACACCATGGTGTAGTCTATTCAGGATGTAATTATACTTTGGAGGATACAGACTCTGCTAGCAAATTACTTGTTTGTTGCGGGGGTATGATAATGTTTAATGTTGTGTAGTAACTGCGAATGTCAACAGCCTGAATCGGTTATTAACAACTACCTTAGGAACTTGGCTGAACGTGACTTTTTTTGTATGTGTTTTTCGTTACATAGATGGCTACTGATCTGAAGATACCCTGCTTTTAGAACAGGGTGCCCCCGTTGCCCTTGCCCATAGCCAAAGTCACCATGGCAGCGGGAGTAGCAGCGTGGCTCCCCTTTGCCAGGGCTGCCGCCATCGGCTGGATGCCAGTGGCCAACCTGCCCATGCCCATGGCTCCCGCTGAGAAGAGCAAGCGGCAAGACGAGCTAATCATCCTGAATGTCAGTGGGCGCCGCTTCCAGACCTGGAAGAACACCCTGGACCGCTACCCAGATACGCTTCTTGGTAGCTCTGAAAAAGAGTTCTTCTATGATGAGGAGACCAAGGAGTACTTCTTCGACCGTGACCCTGACGTCTTCCGCTGTGTCCTAAACTTCTACCGAACTGGAAAGCTGCACTACCCTCGCTATGAGTGCATCTCGTCCTATGACGAGGAGCTGGCTTTTTTCGGCATCATTCCCGAGATCATCGGCGACTGCTGTTACGAAGAGTACAAAGACCGCAAACGGGAGAACGCAGAACGCCTCATGGACGACCAGGAGGACAACAAGGACAGCAAGCAGCCTAATGTGACATTCCGTGAGACCATGTGGCGAGCGTTCGAGAACCCCCACACCAGCACCATGGCCTTGGTCTTCTACTACGTCACTGGCTTCTTCATTGCCGTCTCTGTCATTACCAATGTGGTTGAGACTGTGCCCTGTGGAGCCACCCCCAATCAGAAAGACATGCCCTGTGGTGAGAGGTACACTGTAGCATTCTTCTGCATAGACACAGCCTGCGTCATGATCTTCACCGTGGAGTACCTGATGCGGCTTTTTGCTGCACCCAGCCGCTATCGTTTCATGCGTAGCGTGATGAGCATCATCGACGTGGTGGCCATCCTGCCCTACTACATCGGCCTAGTGATGACCAACAACGAAGATGTGAGTGGTGCCTTTGTCACGCTGAGGGTCTTCCGTGTCTTCCGGATCTTCAAATTCTCCCGCCACTCTCAGGGCCTGCGCATCCTGGGCTACACACTGAAGAGCTGTGCCTCAGAGCTGGGCTTCCTCCTCTTCTCTCTCACCATGGCCATCATCATCTTCGCCACCGTCATGTTCTACGCAGAGAAGGGCTCCACCTCCAGCAAGTTTACCAGCATTCCAGCTTCCTTCTGGTACACCATCGTCACCATGACGACCCTGGGGTAAGAGGATCTGTTTCCTAATTTTTTCTTGCTGGTCTGTCTCTCAGTATCCCATTTGCACTTTGTCTGAAAAGTGTCTCTTTGGCTCCAAGGGGGAGTTGGCAAAAAAATAAAACCTGACTTCAGTATCGCACAAATAAAAGGAATCCACACTGGCGATCCAAGGTTTTAGGCAAGCACTCTTTTCACCCCCTTAAACAAGACACAGATTATGGGATGGATCAGGGCTTGACAGTCTGCTCTTTCTGTGTATTCCTTTTCTTTATCGCCCTCCCTCCCCCTTCCTGTCTTTCTCGCACCCACACACTATGAATCTCCATCACTAACTGTGTTTGTAAGCACACTGTGATCAGGGATTGAGCTTCAATCATTTATATGTTTCCAGGGGATAGAAATTACGTTACGGATGTGTGGACACCCAGACAATTCTTTTTTGAGTTTTTTTTTCTCTGCCAGTTCATTTTATTCTGTTGAATTCATTTTGCATTATGTACTTTTTAATCAGGGATAGAAGAGACTAAGTTGTGCATTGGCACCTTTGCTGCACTGGATGGTTTTTAGGAGGAAAAAAAAAATTATTATTATTCATTATTTATAATAATTATTCTTATTGATGGGTTGATTAAGTTGATCGATTTTTAATGAATTTGTGTGCCTAGCAAGTATATTCACGCTTCATACTGAATGTCAGAACTTAAGAAGCCACTACACTTCTGTCAGTGCCAGCTATTCCAGCCACCTGTTAGCGCATGAAATTATGTAACTGCGAAGGGTCTGGACAAAGAAGTTTTTATTTTTTTCAGATTTTCTAAAGGGTCACATGCAGATGTCACATATTTGACTCATAACCTTGCAATATTTTAGGTCTTTTAATAGCTTTGTATTCTCTTGAGAAAAATCTTCAGTATGGTTATGGCGATTCCATACTCATGTTTTTCTTTGTACTGATAGAAACCAAGCGAACAAGTCGACAGGCTGACAATCGAAGTGTTGCCGTGATCTCACATTGCATTTGAGAACCATCCAGTGCCATCATTACGTAAAGAGTCATCAATAAAGCACAAGGGCCATAAGTAGGTGGGATCTGCTGTATCCGCCGACTAATACTTCCTGACGTTCTCCGTTCTGCATACCTGAGATTTGGACGCGATGTTTCATTAGCTCTGTTGATGCCTGTACGGGGAACTCGGGGTGTGTTGAGCAGTGAGACCGCCAGGGGTTTGCACTGATCAGAGCAGGACATTCTCCTGGGTGGGCTTAGCATCCTGCGCTAACAGGAAACAAAGCATCGGTGATGCAGAAAGTGGCAGTCGCGGTATGATGGATTACAGACCGTTTACCTCCTTTCTGCTGGAATCGCTGCTTAATGTTTGCTCTAAACACACACTACTTTTTACGATTTAAATCCCTTGCATCTCATGAATAATGCAGCATTTACCTATCGGCATTTACCCACCCTGGTATTTTTAAATTTATTTTTTTTTTGGTGAAAGCACAAGCGTGTGCACCCGCACAGACCAACAAGATAAAAATAGACTTGTCCAGGAGCAGTTTCTCAGAGGCGTGTGAGAAGAGGATATGGGCCAGTTCATCTGCATTCTGCCCCGTGTCCTCACAAAGACTGTTATCATACCCGCCTCAAGGGAGCTGTGGTTAAAGCACACCTTCCAAGGAAGCCACAGACTCTCCAAGAAACTTCAGGGTTATGTCGCATGAAATTATCTTTGACTATTCTTTTTTAAGGTCCCTTTTGGTTGTATTTCTGGTTTATTTACATAATATGCTGCGCTTTGCTGCATAAAAGCTTTGTGTGAACCGAAAATAACCTGACACTTAGACAGGTACCTTATAAACAATGGCACTGGTACGATCCGCTCCTCCTACTAATTATCATTTCCTACAGAAAAGCTTATAGTGTCATCCACCATGTAATTTATGCAGTGTACTTGATTACATTTACACATTGGCTCCATGGCCAGGGAAGAGACCTGGGATAGCGTGCAGGGAAACAACCTTCACAGGCATTTCTTTAAAATTAATTTACTGCCTTGTGAGGACTGGCTGAATCGGAGCTCCATCCCAGACTGAACCAGTATAGATCGTTAATAAAATGGATTCTCACCTTTGAAGGAAGGGCATTTGTACACATTGTCATTCTTCTGGAAACCAAAAAGGTTTTAGTTCCTGCAGATTGCAAAAGGCGGGATCGGATGTTTTTTGGCTTGATTATATCTTCCTACAAGGAATGCTTAGTTAATGTATTGTATCCAAGGCAGACTTGCAATCGTCAGTAGAACTGGAGTTTGTACTGAGGGGCAGTCACAGGAACGTACCAGGTACCTGAACTCATATCAGGAATTTTTTTTAAACCAGTTTCAACCACTGCTTTTTGGATTATTTGGATTGAGGGGCTTTATTTTTTTACTGGAAAAGGAGAAATCTTTAGTATTCCATGATGAAAGTACTTTTGTTTTAAACTATGCATGACGTTCTGTCACTAAAACTGCTATATAAACATAAGTATTAATTAACATTACTATAAAAATTCCCAAAAAATTGTGACCTACAGGTATATTGTGGATTGTGATTATAACCAAAAGTATCGTGATGTGACATTTTGGCCATAGGGCCCACCTCAGTTTCCATCCACAGTGGGGCGTCCAGCCACTCACCCTTTCCCCCGTTACTAACGATGCTTCATAAGTGAAGTAAAACACTCATGGGAAACATGTCTGTTGTGTGGAAGCAAGACATTAAATTAGCAGTGTATAAGACATGAACAAAACCGTGGGGGAACTACCCCAAAAATATCTAGAACAACCAATTTGACACTATACTCATGGAGCCATTTTTATTTGAAAATGTTGTTTCAAATTCTTTGCTGCAGAACGCTAATTTCATTAAAGGAGATTTAAAAATGTAGTATGGAAATTATCATTACACTAAGAAAATCAGTATCGGTCAGAATCGGTATCGGCAGTCAGCCTTAAAAGAAGTCAGCAATCGGTATCAGCCATGGAAAATGCAACTGATTCATCCCCAGTCAAAACTGATTATTTCAAGTAAATACTCCAGTTAATGGTGAAGGCATCGGCAGCAGCGCACACATCCATTCTCTCAAATTGATCATCATTTATACATTACTATACCTCTTCTTGTTTACAGTAGAGAAACGAAAAATAGGACAAAAGGCCTCATGACTGACCCTAATAAACAATAAACAAATAGCAGTGAAAGCCCTGTTTACAGAGAATAGCAGTGATTTTGAGAGCCATTTTGAAGGCTCTTTAACTGAATAAATAATTAATGATATTTAGTTAAAAAGTCTGGTTGTGTTGCCACCTGTTGTACAAAGGGTATCTTTGCACAGTTTGCAAATTACGGTAGATTGGTCGACGTCAGATTTGGCGAATATAAACCATTTCCACACAATAAAAGCAGAACCTTTTTTGGAACCAGTTTTTCCTCATGCTGCACGCTACAGTCATGCGTTGCTTATCGTCAGGATAGACAATTTTGTTGTTGTGTGAACATCGCAGTACTTACAGTACTTACACACCTAGACTAGAGAACACCTTCTTTATAAATAGGAAGAGTACACTGTAAAATAACGACAAAAAGCACAGTATAGTAAATACACAAACCGTGCAGTAACATAGTTGTTTATTGTCATTATCAAGTGTTAGGCCTATGTACTATGTACTGTATATAAGTTTGTATGCTAAACGTTTATGCGATAGGGGCAGCACAGTAGGTTTGTTTACACCAGCCACCGCAAACATGGAAGCAATGCCTAGCAGTATGACATCATTGGGAATAGGGATTTTTCACTTACATCAAAATTTAACAGGACCACCGTTGCATATGTGATCTGTCGATGACCAAAATGTCATTATTTGGCACATGACTATCGTATTTATTTGACAACATAGTCAACCTGACTATGGACTGTTTGTTGTTTATCGTGTGAAACAATTTCACAGTGTGATGGTGTATAAAGTTTGTTTTTTCGCCAAGTTTGGTAACTAGTCAAAAAGGATCAATTAGCCACTGAATTGAGATCGACAGACAGATAGTTGACAAATAAGTGAGATATACAGACAGCACATTGATGTTATCCCGGCTGAAATTGCTTTGTTTCACAATTGTCTGTTTTTGTTGTGTTAGCCAACTTTTGTTGCAGCCTCCAGACACACAAGTATCATGTGACAGGCACTTCCCCAGTTTGTTCTGTCGTTATATTAATAGTGTTAAGTAGTGCACTTGTCACTGGGCATTCTCTGCGACAGTACAAATGTTTGCAATGTACTCTTTGCCTCACTTAAACGTAAATGTAGTGCTGTGCAACGATTCTTACGATACCTCTGAAATGTGTATCATTGTACAATTGTAACCAGGTACAATTAAATACCGCCATATGACCCACCACTAGACTTGGGACAAAAGGTAACGTTAGTCGGTAAATAACTTGATTGGCTCATAAAATCAGTCGTAATTAAACTGATTGACTGATTGCCGATCAGCTCCAATATAAGCGAAAATTCAGTTTTCAGTTCCTCGCCGATCGATCGGTGCATCCTTACTTTCCATTACCTCTTCATGTGTATCTTCACCCATTCATCTTTTACCGTCGAATCCTGGTCTTCTTTACTAGGTCATGTATATGATTCTTTATAAAGTTCTATAAATCTACTTCTACTTAAAATGTATTATTCTTCCGATCAGGATGAGCAGTTGGAAGATGGATGCAAAAATTGGATTCTAATAAGTAAGTCTTTCAATGTGAGTCTCATTAATAATGTCTCCTTTTAATTAGCATATAAAAGCCACATACACAAAAATTCCAATAATATTTAAGGGAATGTTTTTGCATCACAATAAATTCAAAAACACCACCAATCTTTTTACGCACACAATTTTTTCTTGATTATATGCACAGATGCAATAAAGATTTTTATATGCAGATGTGCCAATTTAAAAAGCTTGCTTTAGATTATTGT